GCTAGATGAGTGTGTGTGTGTGTGTGTGTGTGTGTGTGACTGTCAGGAGCAAGGATAGAAAATGTTGTTTCTCTTAAAGCTGGGCTCTGAGTGGTTTTTGAAGGAGGCTGTTTTTAACCTCCTTTTTTAAGCTGCTTTAATATTACAGTTTCATTATAAAAGATTCTTGTTCCCCTGGTAGAATGAATATAAGGCAAAAAAAAACAACTGTGCTTCAACCCCGGCTTTTGGTTTTTCTTTGAATTAATTGGCATCAGCAGTCTGTTCAGGTCACCAAAGTCACCGCTGAGAGCTAATGAAAGAAAAAAGAGAGACAAAGGAAGCTGCTGGACAAAGGTATCAGATCAATGGAGCTTGTTCGGATAGCTCATTCCCCCCTCTCTTTCTTTGTGAAGAAGGGAGGTTTGGCCTAAATCTGTACAGTGGAAAAACACAGAGACACTATTTACATTCAAAAAAGTGTTGATTCGATGTTTTCAGAGTGTTCGGACAACATGACCTATGCCCCTGATGTTTCTGTAACTCTCGACCTGAGGATTTCCCCTTCATTATTCTCACCACAAGCTGCATGGTGGCGGCTGCCTGGAGTAGATTCCTACTCTCACAGCTCTGAAAGGGCATACTTAATGACCTCTCATTATCATTCCTCTCTGAGGAAATAATTTCCGAACCGACTCTACTTTACTGATTAGGCCTCGAAGGATTCCCCTGATGTCATTTTTACTTCCTCCCTCTTTCTTTCAAATGCTTCTCTGTCCCTGGGGTTTTCATTTAAATAAGAGCTATTCTACGACCCTGCTGTCCCTAACTTTTTTCTGGTGGCCTACTCTACCACCGCTCTCCCCCAAAACATGCCTTTTTATGTTACATTGATGTCTTTAATTGTTTGCTAAACAACCTTTTCTCTCTCTCCACAGAATGATACCTGGTCAGAGCTGTATTCCTTCGCTGTGTTCAAGGCAATGAGCCACATGCTGTGCATCGGTTATGGCCGTCAGGCCCCGGAGAGTCTCTCAGATATCTGGCTCACCATGCTGAGTATGATTGTAGGAGCTACTTGCTATGCAGTTTTCATTGGCCATGCAACAGCTCTTATCCAGTCCCTGGACTCCTCCAGGCGGCAGTACCAGGAAAAGGTGAGCAGCTTCATTAAATCACCTCAATTCGTCCCAAGTTCTCACATGTTTCCTATTACCCGCTTAACCTCCGGTGTTCCACTTTTATTTCTTATCAAAGGAAAAGTTTGACATGTTGAGAATTATTTGATTTCTAGCTGAGACCTAGATAAGAGAATTGGTTCCATTCATAAAAAAATGAAACTTTCGTCACCAGAAGGCTAACTTAGCATGAAGACTGGAGACAAGGCCCAGCACCTTTTAAAGGTTCTTCAATTGAACTAGAGGGAATAACTAAAACCAGTGTGATGTTGGTGAGTGATGACCATCCTGGCAAAGGTTACAGAGGAGAGGCCAAATCCAGCAGCCAAAACACCAGCGCTGCCAGATTATGAAGCACTTCTTTTATTTTTCGTCTATCAGCAGCAAAAATGAAATAAAATACCGATCTGATTTTCTTGAAACTAAGTTGGGGGGTTTTGCATCCGCCATAGAAGAACCCATTCAATTGTAAAGGGGTCCAAATCAAAGGGGAAGACAGACACCTTTTTCTTTTTTGGTTAACAATGCGAGATAGGGTATGGAGTGCTCTGATATTTAAGGTTATGAAGTAGGTCTTTTGAGAGTTGCAAGAATGAAAAAAATATCATTACATTTTCAACATACCTGGTTAAATGCAAGAGGTTTAGAATATGAGTATAGCGACAGCAGGAAACAAACAAAGTCACTGAGAGTCTGAGGCCGGGCCTGTTTGATATTGTGTGACACGCTACAAAAAGGTACTTGCTGAGATCAAAAACTCTGTTGCAAAATAATGTGGTTTAATGAAAATGGAGATAATCAACTTATTCTCCTTGGACATGTACATTGTTATATTAATCGAAGCAATCGTTTCAACTTGCGGTCAACAAAAAAGTACAACGGCCCTGTGTCACCCTCTCTTCCACATACACACCTCACGCAGGTGAACAGGATTATAATGAGTGCTGCCCATATCCATGTGACCCAAGCTAACCAATCAATAGTGATCAAACAAATATCTTAAAACATAAAGGATTACTAAACATGTTTCATGGCTCCTACAATGAGGTTATTAACGATGACCTTCACAAGCCTAGAAGGTGAATATCTCACATAGTTAAGAACTGATGTGTTGTTGCAGACTCACCTTACCTTAAAGGTAATTTTACAGGTATATTTGTGAATAGAAGATCACGGGTAAGTAATGATGGTGATACGTTAAGTTTGGGTATCTGTCTCGGGGTGGAAAAGTTTAATCACTTTCAACCACATGTTACTGCGCAGCAGGAGTTTTGTACTGATGACCGACTGGTTGGTCAGTTCCTCTGTGGTCGATAAAAAATAATCTCAGGTGATCAAAACCAAGGTACTTCTATTTTTGTCCGTTTCTCCTTCTGTGTTTTTGTCTATCTGATTTAATTCTGTTAAACATTTGCCGCATGTTAAAATAAATGTATCCTATGGCAGCCTTATCTATTAATTTATTTAAAATGCAGGGACATTAGTGGAAGGAATTTGCAGATGTATTGTGGAGGGCCAGCACAGTGCAGCATCAGGTGACTTTCCTTTGGGTTATGACCTCTATCAGATACTGTTTAACCACTAATGTGTATTGTAATTAGCTGGGCTTTGTGTTTGCCTATTGGTCATCTTTTGAACCAGGATGGGATTGGAGCAGTGCTGCAGCAGTGGCCTGTGGTGCAGCGGCACAGCCTCCCTGTTTCCAAGCAGAGTCTCGCTGGCCGGGGAGCAGGGGGAGTGTTACTGGCTTTCAGCAGCCAATCAGAGGCTGCGGGTGTGTTCGGCCAGGTAGAGCCACGTCGCCAGGGGCTGGGCGTTTGTGTGTGGAGGGGGGGGTCTGATGTGTGAGAGAGAACGAGACACAGGGAGAGAGTGTGTGTGTGATATGATGTCCCCTTGGACAGCAGTATAATTGATGAGGCAGCAGACCTGTGTGTCCTGCCAATGTCATCCTGAAGGTGACGTAAGCAACCATGGCTGCCTCTCTTTCGGTCTCTCCATCTTCCTTCTTCCTGACCACTCACTCACTGGTACCTGCACTCTGTATCAACCGGTATGCATCTTCGACCATCCCTCTCTGCATTATCTCTCCCTTCTTTCCTTCCGCTCAACCTTTTTTAAATATTTCCACCTGCTTTCTGCTCTCCGTCTTATCTTATCCTCCTCTCTCTGCTTTCTCTTTCTCTCCCCCCTCCCTTTATCCTCTCTCCCCCTCCCTTTATCCTCTCTCCCCCCTCCCTTTATCCTCTCTGGTGGTGGTGTCCTTGAGAGGTGCAGTGCTACTGCTAACTGTCTGCTACAGGGAGAAAAGGGAGGGGGGGAGTGGAAACCTGTGGGAGATGGCAGGGCCTTGTTGTCGACACAAGTCCTGGTGCACTGCGAGATATTTGAACGCTGTCGACATCTCTTCGTTTAGTGTTATGTCTGCGTTTCGTCTGGTTAGCGCTGTAAGGAACTTCCCATGGGGTTTTTGAATGCATGCGGCTGGCCACTTGGGCATAAATAATTTCCAATAACTGCTTTAGAAAACAACAAATCAGCAAGTTGAGAGCTTACTGTTGCTGTTGTCTTTCCTGTGTGTCCTGGATGATGGGGGTTAAAAGGCCTGAGAGAAATCCATAGCGTGTGGTCTGTGAGAAATGGTTGCTCCCACAGTAAATGACAGTAAATGAGCATCCTGTGCAAGAAAGCCAATAATCTGGTTTTAAATACAGAGTTACATTTGCACTACAAGCACTAGGTCTCATGTCTGAGAGCTGTGATGAGTTGTATAAGTGTGTATAATCCTCAAACGTCCTGTAATTGTATTCAGTTTGAGGATAATTTAAGAAGTAAGAAACATAAATGCTTTTACGTAAGGACATTAGTTTATAATGCTGTCTGGTCTGTTCGGATTCATTTATACTTCTAATGCACCCTCAACCCAAAGAAAATATGTTTGGATCTGCTGAGGGTAGGAAAGTGCATTACCCCAGAACCTTCTTTCTGACCAGTTGTCGGATTTTCTATTTCACTTCCTGCTCTGTGAGGATTAGCATTTCAGCAGAAGATGTGTTTATTTCAATAAATAAAGAAACTTGCAAAGTGCCAGCCATGCCGGGGAGGATGATGCCGATGCTGCCGGGTGAATTTGCCACGCCTCCGGATAGGACTGTGAGTGACATTTTTATCATTTGGAGAGTGTTAGCAAAACAAGTCTGCTGGCAGTCTGTTAGAGCCCCAGTGAGGATCGGGCTAGCTTTGTGTGGAGTTTTCCATTTCAGCTCGGCAGTAATGTCAGACTCACAATGCATGCTGGTTATATTTAGGCAGAATTTGGCTTGGTGGCTTTGGTTCAGAGACCTTTTTGTTATTTATACATGTAACAGTGAACACTGACACAGCAAAAGGGAACATAGGCAATAGAAGAAGCTGCCTCACTTGTGCCACCTTTATAGCACCTTTGGAAACAATGCAACGACAAATCTGGCCTTGTGTATCCAATCATCACTGTTCTTGTAAAATTAATGTTACGTCTGACCCTCGCAGCTGCTTGTTAAGAGAATGCAAACACTTCAACACTTTGGTGCAATGTATTTTGTGATTTTGACTTTGTGATTCTGACATTATCGGGTTTTATGTAACATGGTGTGATGTCACTAGATAATGCAGCATTACAAGCCCTTCACACTTCATGGTGTACGCACACATGCACGCACGCATGCACGAGCACGCACGCACGAACACACACACACACACACACACACACACACACACACACACACACACACACACACACACACACACAGGTGTTTTCACTTCATTAGCCATTAGCCTTTTCACAAGATAAAAAACCACTAGTTAAGCTAATTGCATTATATTGGTTTTAATATTGGATTTTCTTTTGAGATGCAACACCCAAGGTTAGTGTTTCTGCAGGCGGGTGGCTATTTTGTTAGCAGTATGTTATGTTGACACCTCTTAAGTTATTTTCCCCAAGTGTCACTGTCAATGTCAACTCGGAGGCTGACGTTAGTGATTTTTTAAACACGGTTACTTGTACTTATGGTGTAAGAATGAGAGAATGTCCCTTAAATTGTCATTGATATCTGTTTGGTCTAATAAGCCAGAATACGTTGTAAGTCCGATGTAGGTGTGTACTGTGCAGGGAGTTTCTCAGTCACTTGATCCATTTTTGCCCCCTGTTTATTTATTTCTGGGATTTATATATAACTGAAATCACACAGTGGTTGCTGTGACATCACTTCCAGTTATCAAGGAAGTGTAAAAATACCCTTTTAAAAAGTGTTATTGGCATACATTCCTTCCCTTTACATCAAACAGTATGCCTTAAGATATGCAGCAGACCGTAGACTAGTTATATAATGCTGCACAGATACACCTTGTGCATCGATAATCATGTCTTAGTGGCTTCACAGGGGTTTCACATTGAATCAGCGCTCCTCTCTTGTAGTCGTAGAGACTAATCTTGGTAAGGAAGACAGAGGGCAGACATTAGTCTGAGCTCTCTGCCATGATGTGGCACAATACTGTGTACAAGATTGTTTTCTACCTGCTCCCCCTCCTCCTCCGCTCCCTCTGCGTGCCGCTGCCACCATCAACAACAGTGATATGTCTTCTTTAAGCCAGATTGCATGTCACTGATCGCTTCAATTATCCAGAACCAGCCTGACTTTGCAGAGATTGTGGCCAAAGAAATTCCTCCGCCAACGTCAACAACAAAAAACAGCCCCCCCTACTCCCGGCTCATGATATTCACTAGTAGAAAGTGTGTCTGATGAACAAAGCCTTATCAGTCAGTCTACTTTAGTTGTCCCTGCCTTTAACTGAATTATAGGAATATCAGAGTTTCTTCAGAAGCCTTATTTCATTTAATACGACTTTGTACTATGTGAGACCCCACAGTGTGTTGTTCCTCTCTGTGTACACATCTCCCAATTTAAGAAGAACAAGGCAAGCTCTGACTTACCACTATCCGATGTTCTTCTCTTTGGTGAATGTGCTGTATAATATAATGAGCCGATTTAGCAGGGAATTAAGTGAATGAATTATACATCCACATGGCCGTTTGGGATGAACCTAGAATTAGAATTTCCAATGGGGAGAGGAAAGGAAATAGGAGGATGGGAGTAAGGAAGCTAAACAAAAAAGAAAGAAAAAGAAGAAAAGAGAAAGGATAGGAAAGAGAACTAAACATAAGGAAAGATAAGAAACAAAAAGGAGAAGATAGGAAAGGAAACTAAAAAAGGAAAGGAAGGTAAATGAAATGAAATAAAATTGATGATGGGAAAGGACAGGAAATAAGGCAAAAGGAAAGGAACTTTAACAAAAGGAAATAGGGAGGATGAGTGGGAAATCATTAAAAGATGGAAGCTCATGGGTAAGTACTTAATGGGCTTATAAGTGGAAATATATAATCAGTCAATGACAAAGTCTCTATACATTTCCCCAAAGGTTCCCATAAGCAGCATTTTAGATGATAAAATGTCAGTGGAGCGTTTATGCTGCATACATTGTCATCAATGTGAAACAGAAAATAGATGTCATTTCCTCTCTCCTTTGGGTGCTCGTCAGCTCCCTGCAGGTGCTGTGATGCCCTCTCTCCTCTGTGACACTGGAGGGTTTTCAGGTTGGCTTGGTGATGATCGATACGCCGCACTGTGTCATTGCTCTTAAAGTCAAGTCATTAAATGCCACCATCCAAGATCAACCAGATAGGCTTTTGCTGCCTCATTAATTCAGACATGGCCGAGTCACAGTCCAACCACAGCTGCTCAGCAGCTGCATCTCTGCGGGGAGTGTGAGGTTTTCCCTTGCTGCCAGACCGCCCCAACACCTACACTTTGTTCACAATCAGCATTTCCACCTTATGAAAGCCTCAGCAGCTGCAGTGTTAGCTTTGGCACATCGGGTAAGGAGTTGTGACACTGGGTCATTTCTTCAGGCCGCTCTCCATCTGCAGATGTCAGGAAGCAGAGTCACTCATGCAGGTGAGACGTCTGTTGTGTAACTCCATCATGGAGCTGTGCAGCTGCCTCTGCCCGGGAGACTTTAGCTTAATTGCTGATTAATTCAAATGTTCGTTTTATTTATGTTTATGTTCTATGGCAGAAGGAAGCAGCGTGGGAGAAACACGCTTAGCTTCTTCCGGGCAGACTGACAATACTTTTGTTTCCTCGCATTATGGGGTCACTGCATACCGACCCCCCCTCTGCAGGAACAGCATGTGGTAGCTTCAAACCTATACAGTTCAGAAAGTATTTGTTCTGTAATCTAGCACATTGGATTTGAAATAGAATATAGACACCCAGTCTTTATGCATTTACCACCTACTGCTAAATATTGGAGAAGACAGCGTTAGAGCTTTTACAGTAATAATTGTAACTTGGATAAAACTCATCTTAAACTAATTGGAACTTGGTCATACAACAAGTATTGGACAATATAAAAAGTCAGGAGATCTCCAAAGTTATCACAGATATGAGAATCATCCTGAACTGTAAATGTTTAAAGACCTTGGTGTTGATGGGGTTAACAGTTTGTGTTCACTGTTAACATCCATAGACAGTGTGCAATGTTGGACTTGCATCCTTTTATATTCCCCCAAAATGACAGGATACTATGACTGAACAAACTTCACTCCAGACAGGTACAGTATGTGTTTCTGTACTGAAAACCACACTGAGTTTTAAAAGCTCCTGAAATGAGCAAGAACTGAGGAGTACACACTTGGCAGCGGATGATGCCAAGTGTGTCTGCCGATTGAATCTTTTTCAGGAACTCCAGAGTCTGGAGGTCCTGATCCAGCAGCTGCTGCTACTGCCCCCAAGTCTTCAGGTCATAAAGTTCAGCCAGCCATTGACAGTAAAGGATTTTCAGCCAAATATGAATTCCTAATTCACGTCTATGTTAACTTGTTACTTCCAGTCCCTCTAAATGGAATGGCTGTACATAAATAAAACGTTAGCACTTTTAACCCAGATGTGTTTCATATTACATAAAACAGTGATACAAAATGTAATACTTTCCTGACTGCACTATAAAAACTGTAAATAAATGCTCAGTTGTGGAATATAAGTATATTTTGCGAAATACTGAAGTAGTATCAATTCAAAATTCTGCAGTTGTGATCATTTAGTTGCTGTTGCTAATGGGACCCTAATTATATGAAATGATAAAGACAAGGACAGGTCTGTTTAGTTTTTATTTATTTATGTAAAGACAATATCAGCTTTTATTAAGTATAGTTAGGTGCTTTTTAGCCGTGTAGTGGAGCAGTGTAGTGTACTGCTGTCATGAAAGATGGAATTGAAGTGCCTTGTGCTACAGGATTCTTCTGTGTACACGAGTAATCAGTTATGAACCACTCAAAATCTTTGTTATCCAAATATTTCTCTCTTTTGGAAACAGAGAGCCAGTCTGTGCAAGCAAGGCATGTATCTGAGTCTGTAGAGGATTCAGAGCTCTCGGTGGGTGATCAGGTGGACCTCACAGTTTTCCTTGGGGGATCGGACGGGACAGCTGATGCAGCATCACCCGAAATGAACCTGGGACCCTCCAGTTGTGGGGCGGTCTCACTACTCTAAAACAAACCTGTTGAACACATTGTCAGGAGATGCCAGCTGTCTCACAGCACGTGCCTGCCTGCGGTGCATTCACTGCATCTCTCAAAACGGTGTCAATGTTTTTTTACATTATAGGTGCAGGGTGAAGCGGTGTCTCTTATGCACCATTCCACTTGAGCTTGGTTGAAATGCGCACAGTCTGATTACAAGGATAAATATTTTTTTCTGTTCAAAGTTAACTGTCTGTTCTGTTCATCGCTGCATCCATCACTCCACAGGAAAAGCTGTACAGTTTTTGGTTTCTTAGTCTCTCTGGATGGATTGTGATGATTAGCATATCTCAACAATAGCATCTGATTGTTTGTGTTGCCTTGTTGGACCCCTTCAATTTCGATTGATCTGACATTGATCAGCTTCTAGGTGGCATTGATTAAAGGGCAAGTGTGTTCATTTCAGTTGACAGCTGAAGGGCAAGTGCTTGTTTTGTTTTCTGTTGTTTGTTTTGTGTTTGTTGACCCACCGGAAGACATATGGGTAAACTGCTGTTGCATTATCCCCGGAGAGATCCCTTGTTGATTTCCCTTGGTAAGCTGCAATCCTTTTTGGAAGCTGTAGTTCGTGGTGCTGTTGGATTTTATTGCGTTATACTGAGAGGTGTTTATACTGTAATATTTTGTTTACCCACAAATAAAATACGAGACAATCTCTGAGGATAATGCTATACATTCCAACAGCACTAAGAGCTACAGCCTCCAAACCGTCCATATATCTGAATCTGGGACTTCGATTATACATTTGCAATATAAAATGAACATTATGACCGTCATGAGTGTGAGATTTACCGCCAGGCTGTTGCATTGGAGTGCCAACTCCAAGTGTAGAAATCAGTGAACCCCACAAAACAAATGTGTAACAGCTTCCTAAATGTCATATGGCACAAAATATATGTTGCTGGATGCTTACAAACATATTTGAAAGATCTCTGCATATTTGCTTTTCGGCATACAGAAGTGTGTAAATATGCTGTGCACAATATCTGATCCATTTATCCTTACAATGTCTATCATTTTAGCAAATATGTAATTTCCTTTTTCGATAAAATGCTGAATAGTTATCAATGAAGCTTGGCACTGTGGTTTTTAGCCAAACATACTGAACTAATGCTTTAGATAGTGCTATATTTCAGCTATAAAGATATACTCATTTGTTTGCAGTGAGTATCTAGCAGCAGCAGGATGCTAGCTGTGGGATTAACTAGAAAAGCACTCCAGTGCCCATTTTCATCATAATAAAAGAACATGTCACCCAAAGCAACAGTGTGGCTCATTGATCTGTTTTTAATATTTTTTGGGACAACAATGGAGCCTTTTGGCACAGACGAATATATCAGGCTTTGACCACACAGACAGGGATCAATGCATTTTGGTTTTTAGATCCTCTTTATAGAGTTTTTACCAAATTAAGAAAAACACAGAATATCTCCAGATGTACTCTTCAAAAGGGACAATACATTCAAACATTGTTACAGTGTAAGAAAGAGTTATTATGTGTACTGCATTAACATCATATTTTCTCTGTCTGCCTCAGTACAAACAAGTGGAGCAGTACATGTCCTTCCATAAGCTGCCGTCCGACTTCCGACAGAAAATCCATGACTACTACGAGCACAGATACCAGGGCAAGATGTTTGATGAGGAGAGCATTTTGGGAGAACTCAGTGAGCCCCTCAGAGAGGTAAGACAAAACAGAAAAAAATGCAAATGTTACACATGATATGTTGTACTATAAGATTATTTGAGAAACCTAAGATTAGTCATAGTTTGCTCTATGATCTCGTCATGTTTGATTTTGAAAATAGTACTGGTTGCTAGACTTTAGTATTTGTTACCGTATTTCAACTCAAATCCCTGACTTCCCTGAATTCCTGCATGCAGAGGGAAGCTGTGTGGCGCATCAGTCAAACATTTGACAGACGTTACTCAACAAAATATTGTCTTTTCTTAGGAAATTGTTAACTTCAACTGTCGCAAGCTGGTGGCGACAATGCCGCTATTTGCCAACGCAGAGCCCTACTTTGTGACGGCCATGTTGACCAAGCTGCGTTTTGAGGTATTCCAGCCGCATGATTACATAATAAGGGAAGGCACCATTGGGAAAAAGATGTACTTCATTCAGCACGGAGTCTGCAGCGTCATCACCAAGGGCACCCTGGCAATGAAACTCTCTGATGGCTCTTACTTTGGAGGTAGGACACAGTTTGTGGCATCGTCTTTTTCTAGATGTGCCATTTTGAGCTTCTTTTTTTAAAACTGATGCATTTTCTCCTTCCTGCTTTCAGAGATCTGTTTATTGACGAGAGGTCGGCGAACGGCCAGTGTGCGAGCAGAGACTTACTGTCGACTCTACTCTCTGTCTGTGGACCACTTCAATGAGGTGCTGGAAGAATATCCCATGATGAGACGCGCCTTTGAGACTGTTGCCATTGACCGTCTAGACCGAATAGGTAAAAAGGGCATGCTTCTAGGGCATGCATACGTGATATTAGAGGCCGACATATGGGCACATCGATGCAGTCAACCATATCACTAGAATGAAATCATGTAACATCTGTATTGTATTATTTTGAATCTCTGCACATGGCTCTATTTGATCAAATACAAATGCTAAAATGAACCTTGTGTACAGAGAACAGAATAATATTGTTCTAAAGATGTGTTTTTTAGAAAATTAATGTTAAAATAGGAAGTAAAACGAGTCGTGCTGTTCCTTCAGAACGACATGGGACACTGTAACATTAGATTGGGTGTGGGATGACACATCCATCATCCTCGGGGCTGTTCTGCAGGATGTACCTGGTGTGAAGGACATCACACGCTAAATCTAACTCATTCTGTTTCCCTTTCCAAATTCTTTCTTTCCATATATATTTATTATGTGTTCTGCTTTTTGTCCTCTCTGGCCTGTCTGTATGCAGCTCTGTAATAAACCTATCCATTTATTTTTGTCTGAAGGTAAGAATAACTCCACCCTGCTGCACAAGGTTCAGCATGATCTCAACACTGGTGCCTTGAACAACCAGGAGAACGAGATGATCCAGGAGATCATCAAGTATGACCGTGAGATGGTGAAGCGCGTGGACCTGCAGCGGCCGCGGGCCATGTCCATGACTCCCTCCATCGGCGGTATCTTTGCCCCCCCCGGCCAGCCTCAGTCAGGCTCTGCCATCGCCACTCTCCAGCAGGCTGTGGCCATGAGCTTTTGTCCTCAGATGGCGAGTCCCCTGGTGGGTCCATCAACTCTGCAGTCTCCTCGCATGGTGCGGAGGTTTCATGTGATGCAGAGCCTGGCCAGCCCAGTCGCCATGTCCCCTCTTCAATCTCAACCCCCTCAGACGCTCGGAGGGGCGTTTGGATCTGCCATCTCCAGCCCGCCTGTCCAAAGCCCGCTCGCGGCTTCAGGACGGACTTTCCAGTACATGGCGAGTGCGGGACCCTCTGGCTCCCAGTTGTCCCTGGTACAGCACCATGCACCCAGCCCCACTCATATCCAGCAGAGGCCTGCCTCACACAAGAGCACCTACTCCCTTCATGCAAGTAGCTTGAGCCAGGATACCCGGGCCAGGTCTGCCTCCCAGCTCTCCCTCCCCCAAGAGAAGACATCACCAGCTGCCTCTGCAGTCCCCAGCCCTCCACAGTCCACCCGCACCTCTAACAACTCCATTGGTCCCCCTCAGGCCCCTAACCCCAACCTGCCAGGGCCCTCAGGGGTAGGAAGGTCGGCAGCAGCTCAACCGAGGGTGGCGTTTGCCTCCACAGCCCCTCCTGGTGGACCTGCTGGAATGGGGGCAGTAGCAGCAGCTGCTGGATCAGGACCTCCAGACTCTGGAGTTCCTAAGAAAGATTCAATTGTCAGCCTTCCAGAGCTAGACCCTGCCAGATCCCGGCTGTCTTCCAACTTGTGACCCTGGTAGGGTTCAGGAAAGAGGCCTTTTTTGTAGGAGAATCTGTTTGTTTTAGGTCAGTCCAGCTGATCTGTCAGCCTGCTGAATGACCACTCAGCTAGCGCCAGCGCCAGCCGTCATTCGACCAGGATGCACTGTGTGCTGGCGTCAGCAGAAGGAAAAGAGCAACTCAAAGCCTTGAGACACTTTGGCTAGGAGGAGTCTATACAATTAAACTAGTATAACTTAAGGTGGAACTGGTCTAGATTACTGTGCCAGCACCTTTAGTCTTAGTATCATCCCTTACACTGCTTCCAAACACCTACTGTATATCGCTGTCTTTACTGTAAAGATATGAAGAAAAGTATGATTCATGTAACTATTGCATACTGTGTAGAATCCATGCAATGCAATCTAGCAGGAGCTGGACTTAAAAATGAAAATCAGGGACTTGAAGTCAAATGACAATGACATTTTAAGCGTTCAAAAGTGTTTTGAGTGTAATTTTTCTGTATAAGCTGTCGTAGCAAAAGAACACATTGCTCTTCATATTGTTTAAAATTGTAGTGAAAATAGTGTTTTAGACCGCTGGTCGATCTTACATCGATGTGTAAATAGTTGTTGAAAAAAGTAAGGAGGGATATTATATTAATTGTATCTACCCAAACCAAAGTTGAGCTTGAACACAAAGTCTGGTTGTGTCTGTATCAACTAAAAAAGGAACATAGAAGAAATGCCATTTATTTAACTGCCTTGATTCAACGTTAGAAGCCATATATTTGGTTTGTGTGTATGTATATATGTTGGTGTAAGTTTGTGCGCGTGAGTTTGTTGGTACGTTTTGGTTCTATTTTCAGAGAATGGACTCACACACTACACTTTGTCAAGCGCAATTGTTTTGACATGCTGACGGTGGCACTGACCTATTTCCATGAAACATCTGGGAGGCGGTCAGCCGTTTGGTCAGCGCACTGATTGTAACCCTGAATGCAAAGGTGGTTAAATAATCTGAGCTTTATCGAAGGTAACATTTGTGAACAACCCATACTGTATACTTGCTTGTTTTTGTCTAGGTTTATTGATTAACACATGCAATATAATTCTGCAATACTCTACCCCGCCTATATATAAATATATATGAATATAAATATCAATACATATGCTGTACAGGAACAATTTCCTTTGTTTTCTTTTTAATGTGAACTCTTAAAGAATCCAGCAGTTATTGTGGCTTCACTTGAAGTATTGTAATCCAGTGACCATGTTGTTACCTTAACCAAAAATGTTTGAAGGGAATGAGAGGACGTGCAGTTTCATTTTTGTATAGACTGGGCAAACTGCCCAAAACTGGTTTAGAGTCACAGGAGGAATCCTCAAAAATGTCACTTTAATCTCATTTGAAGATATTAAATTGTAAGATGACTGGGGGTGGGCAAACTCCCACGAATGTCACAACAATTCGATCTTAAACAAACCTATTGCTCAAATTACAGGATTGCGTTGAGGCTTGGTTTGATTTGTTCAAAATATTCTGATCCTGTTGAACCTAAAAGCCTCCTCTCGCTGAATGTATGCCATAAGAGAAGGAAGACAGCTAATCAGATATAAACTGCCATGTAAATAAAGGGAAATACATCTAAAGAGGCTTTTATGATGCCAAGGGGTTGTGGGCATTGCTGTATGTGCTGCTGAGTGTCTTGGCAATCTTTTTTGGGTTTGATGATGCTTCTATGGGTAGAAAGTTGTTGTATTTAACCTGTATGTTACCCCCCCTCACACACCCAATCAAATCCCCACATCTACCATAAGAATATCAATTGTTTTTCATTTATTGAGGTGGACGTGAACGAGAGCGAGTTGTAACCACTTTGAACTCCTCGGTCCAGAACGAGCACTGAGGACATGCAGTTAAGCACCTGATGTTGCACTTCAACCTTGTAATCAAAATGAAAATCGATTGCTCTATTCTTTTTAAACGGGTGCAGTACTTCCCCAGGACCCATTATCTGGTTAAACTGTAAAGGACGAAAAGTGAATCTAATTGGGAAAGAAAACAGGCAGCTGTATCAATGTGCTAAACAAACATTGTGTTCAACTTTTTCAGCTCCGAGCATCGAGCCCTAGCCAAACTGTGAAATCAATGCAATGGACATTTCACTCAGGTTGGCTACCTTTCCAGAGGGATGTATTGATCGCCGCAGCATGGCTCTCTATTGATTTATGTAGACTTATCCATCCTCCCATAATCAACTTGTTGATTTAACCGTGCCGAAAGATTCCCCTTGAATTTTGATTGGCGGAGAAACACATAGGTCTATTGAATGGAGACAGATAGTTATTAACAAAACTCGCTGCCGTCTAGTTTGATCCCTTGAGAGCTATTTAAATCTTTAGACAAGGTATAAGTGATTGTTTTTATCCAAGGGCTTTATAAGATTGCTTGTAAACCCTGGATCATTGTCATTATGGAGCATCTACATTTCCACTTTCCATTTGATCAGTAACATGCACTAAACCTGGTTCATTGCCATTCTTGGGTCACAGTGCTGAAGCCCGACCCATCAGCAAAGCGGGAACTATGTATTTATTTTTTCCTATGGGAAAGGTTCATGCCAAAATGCCAATAAGATTGTGAATGAATCACGTCCATTTGAGTCAATAGCTGTTGTGTGCTTCAATACTGTTCCAGTGCAATCAATTGGTCCTCTTCCCTGTTCCTTTGTGCTAATACCAGAGTTTGCCCTATTAAGCTGCTATCAGGACTGTGCTGATATGATGTGAATGAGTCCACAGGCAGTGAGAGCAAGATGGGAGGAGAGTTAAAGAGCTAATGTTTCAGGCAATATCAGGCACCGTCTCTGTTTCATTGCGTCCATCCAGTAAGATACTGTAGTGTGTAATTCACTCCCACTCAAAGGACGGCATCCCAGACTCACTTTGATCAGTACCACTCAGTTTCAACCCGCAGCCATGAGGCTGATACAGCCCGGGCCAAGCACATACTTCTGTCAGTTATCTGTTTTGTGTCTGTGTCACAAGCGTGTTCAGTCAGTCTGCTTCCAGCCACCGTCAATGTGTGTGTGTGATATAGCGCTGTATCTGCCTGATGACGGGGGGGGGGTTCAAAGTGCGATTGTTTTAATGGCTCTTCTACTGGACCTTGCTGTGAAGTGGGATTGAAATCCCTCATACATGTTTGACACTGACTGACAATTATTGAGAGTATCTAAGTTTCAAACCTCTCATTCTTGCTGTACCAGATATTAAGGGTACTGAATGCCTTGGTGTTGATATGTTAGCAAATCAGGGTATTCTTTTTGTTGTACTGTATTTGATTTATCGGTAAATTTGGTTTTATTGTTGTTTTTGAAATACCTTGTGCCTAGTATATCTAGTTTCCACATAGTCTATTTTTGTGGTATGTATTTGCCTGTAAAAATGCAAATATCTGTTTTTATTTTCAACTTGCAATATATGTAAAAAAAAACAAAAAAAACAACATTAGATGCAGACTAGTATTCCTGAATTTAAATGACAATGTCAGTATATATAATTTTCCCTGATTTGGGAAACACAAAATTGCACATTTTTGTTGGTTTGAGCCTTCCAACACCATGCGCGCTGTACTCTGTACATTCATGTTCTGTACATATGGTATACACACAGATGTGGGGCACATTGTCGTGTTTACCGCAACCTGCTGTATAAGAAACATTTTCTACAGTGAGAGGGTGAGCTCTGACAGGCTTCTGGTGGATATCGGCAGTCTGGACGTTAGCTTAGACGACCTTCGTAGTGCAAAGAAAAGAACAAATTAAACTGTGGAGACGACTGCACAATATAAATACAGGAATAAAACTAGACTGTGCACATGCTGGAACATCTTTCCCAAACCATAGTGTTGCACAGGTTGTTGAACTATATGCTAGTTGAACATGGATCTGGTTTGCCATTAAAAAAATAAAAGATCTCTCTAAGGCTGAATTTGGCTCACGAGCCACAGCAGTCACAAGCTCGACGCCAGGGTTGAGTTACCTTGTCAGATAACAGCTGAGTGCATGCTTGTATTTGTATTATCTACGCAGAGTTCTGTGTACGATTCTTAGTGGGACCTTCTACCTAGACATTGTTGTGAACCAACTACTTTACAATGATTTTATTTAGTCTAACAGTTAAACCTTTGTGTCGTAGCTACTGTAGCCTATGCTTACCTAAGCCTTCTCTCTGCTTCAGGACTCTGTGTATTGTGTGCTTGAGTTTGTGTGTGTGTGTGTGTGTTCCTGTGCCTTTCCTTCTATAATGTTGGTCCCACTTGAGAATATGATGCCATTTAGGGGTTTAAAACCCATGTGAAGCTGAGAGAGACGCCAGCACAAGCTGGAAAGTGTTACATGGTAACGACACACTAAAAAAAAACACTGTAATGCTCCTAGAAAAGACTCCAGCACATCCCTAGACTTAGTAGCATTCCACAGCCTGCCCGAGCAGCTCAGTGTGGGCATCCATACACACTTTACCAGCACCATGTAGACAACAGCACAGATATCTGACAAAGCGCATGTCTCTCTTTCTCTCTGGAGGCCAATCTGCAACAGTCTCAGGCTGTGCTCTGCTTCTGCTCTTAACAAAAAGTTTTAAGTATTTCAGAACTCAAGCTCTGTCTAAGTTGATGTCTACAGTCCAGGGACAAATCAGCCCCCAGCCCGGGCGGCAGCACTTCCAAATCGATCTCAAAGGATCAGGGGGATACTTGTGATGCTGCCGATATTTGTCGCCGTCCAGTCCTTTCAGACTGGCACAGCTGGTGGTGATGGGAACGGGGGGGCTGATTTGGGCCTGCGTCCAAAAGGCTGTCTTGTCCACCACCTCTGCTGGCCTAGAACACAGAGCCACACCCTGGTCTCTCTCAATAAGCTGGTCTGTCAGTCAGTGGCAATGTTGTTTAAGCGTTCGTAAAAAGACGATACATTGTTGTGCAATAAAAAGATGAGCTCATTGGCATACTAACCTCCGTGTGTGGACTTTTATTTTGTTTTTTTGGTTGCCATGCTGTGTTGGATGTGAACTTACCATTGGTTGCTACACACACAAACCTCACCCATGCAAATCAACTAGCACCCCTCCACCCTTGTTCTACTTCATATCAGATGAGATCTCTCTGTGTGTCTCTCTTTCTCTCTCTCTCTCTCTCTCTCTCTCTTTCTCTCTCTCTGTCTCTGTCTCTCTCTCTCTGCAGACAGGGGCTCTGCTGCATCCCTGATGAGATGTCTGAGCTCAATCCAAGAGCTTACCAATTTGTGTGTGCGTGTGTGTGTGTGTGTGTGTGTGTGTGTGTGTGTGTGTGTGTGTGTGTGTGTGTGTGTGTGTGTGTGTGTGTGTGTGTGAAAGGGTGTGTGTGTGTGTGTGAAAGGGTGGGTGGGTGTGTGCGTCAGAGAGGAGGGCAGTCCAAGGACACTCCTCTAGCAGCCTGGGAGCAGCTCACACCCGTTCCCTCTCTGTATATTTCCTTGCACTATTTCCTTCACACGCACACACACGCACGCACGCAAACACACACACACACACACACACACACACACACACACA